GCTCATATTCTTTCGTGGATTTGGCTATCACGATTTGTTTTGAGGATTTCCATGAAACAGCTGCACCTGCGAGTGTAAACGCGTAGCTGCTCGTGGACTTAGAATCCTTAATATTAGATATGCAATTAGTGTCATTGTACCCTTCAAGTACAATAGGATATCTTGTATAGTGCAGTCCAAGATCTTGAGTATACGTAAGGTATCTCATAACCTTTATGGTTATTTTTATATTTGTCATTCTAATTGTATGGCAAATGACATATCTATCCCGACTTTTGACGGCTTAGATGGAAGAAACTAACGGGAGGATGACAACATGTCAAATTTTGCAACTCGGAATGTAACTGCGAAAGTTAGGGACTATAAGTGGTGAAACCACCAAACTCGAGAAATCTTGGCAGGTATTTATTCTATTCAGAAAAACATAGATTGAATCCTAGTGAGAGGTTTATTCACTAGCTAAACTAAATATAGAAACTTGTACTAACCTAATTCCTAAGTGTATGTGGAGTCAAATTAAATTCTATAACTCTCCCTAGGGTTTACCGCTAGGGTTCCGGCTTCTTCCTTGGATCGCCGAGGTAGTCACGTACATTCCAGTCCATCTTTACGGCAAAGCGCCGGGCTTCTCTTCTGTTCGTAGCTATGGAATCGACCGGACGACGGGGCGCGGTCGAGGGGTTGGCAAGGCGGTGGGCCGATATGGTCCTTGATGACGAGGAGGAGGCGTACGCACCGGCTGGGGAGGTCGACGCCGGCGGAGCAAAACCGGTGGAGGAGACATGGAGGTTAGTAGGACGTTTTTTTGACAACTAAGATCATTAAGCTTGAGTTTATGAGTCAGGTCATGGCATCTGTATGGCAACCGGTAAAGGGGGTGCAAGTGTCTGAGATTCAGCAAGGTTTGTTTTTGTTCATTTTTCATCATGAGACGAACATACAACATGTTCTTGAAGGTGGACCATGGTCTTTTGAGAATCATACGCTAGTGTGTAGGCAGGTCCGGGATGGTGTAGTCCCTATTATGGTACCACTTGATACTGTTGATATGTGGGTACAAGTCCATGAGCTACCTCTCGGTTACACTTCGGATGTGATTTTGGAGCAGGTCAGGATTTTTTTGGGGACTTTCGTAAAGATTGATGACAGATTTGCAAATTCACCATGGAAGACTTTCTATCGCATTAGGGTTTCGATTCGTGTCTTGAAACCGCTTAAGCGACGTATGAAACAATTGAAACGGGACAAGACCACCTGCTGGGTAAACTTTAAGTATGAAAGGCTGCATAATTTCTGTTTTTTCCGTGGTATGCTTGGACATCTGTATAGGTATTGCTTGAAGGCCCGGGACTCGACTCTAACGGTGGATCAGTATCCCTACACTGATGATCTCCGTGCCGGACAAAGGAGGGGGTCGCGTAAGGTGGGTGCGCCGTGGCTCTTGGATAAAGATGGGAAACCGATGCGGCGGTGGCAACCATGACTTCTGGACTGCCGAGGGGACTGAGCGATGCTTCCGCGGCATGCTCGGATCCTGGCCGGCGGGGGCCCGAGCCGGTTATGGTGGCGGCGATGAAGAGGAGGCGGGAAGGCGGTGAGAATGATATGCATGGGGGTGAGGATGATCAGGATGTAACAATGGCAGAAATCTAAAAAAACTTGTTTGTGGCGAGTTCTGGATCTCAGGCCCGCCCATCATCATGAGTACCCTAAGCTGGAACTGTCGTGGCTTGGGCAATCCACGAACAGTTCACGAAGTCAGTGACCTTGTGTCACGTAAGAAGCCTGATTTTGTTTTTCTCATGGAAACTAAGGTTGGCAGGAGTCATGCTGAGCGCATTCGTGTCAGTCTTGGTTTTGATGGTTTTTTTTATGTTGATAATGATGGTTTGAGTGGTGGTTTAGCTTTGCTATAGAGAAAGAATATTACGGCAAGACTTATGAGTTTTTCGAAGAATCATATCGATGTGGAGGTTAGTATAGCTGGTTTCCCGAATTGGCGTATGACATGTTACTACGGGTTCCCGGAACGTCATAGGCGTTATGAGGCATGGGAGTTGATTAAATCGCTGGCATCACGATCTAGCCTACCATGGGTTATGATTGGCGATTTTAATGAACTCATGTATTAGTATGAGAAGAGAGGGGGAAACCTACATCCTGATAATCTCATACGCGATTTTGGGGATGTTATTGAGCAATGTGGGTTATCTCAGCTGCTAATGAATGGCTACCAATTCACATGCGAAAAGGGAAAGGGAACAGCTAACTGGATTGGTGTGGTATTGTGCAAGAAGCCTATGTGACAAATATACTAACAAGAAAGTCGAATCACTTTGCTTTGTTCCTGGGAATTCGTGAAAGTCGTGGCAGGCCAGGAAGGAGGGGTTTTCGTTTTGAAATGGCTTGGATATATGATGAAGGATGCAGGAAGGTGGTGGAGGAGTCATGGGAACATGAGAGGGATAGGGGCCTTGTATTCTCCATTGTGGTAATCGCCTCTTACGACCGGGGGGGGGGGGGGGGGTGGAGGGGGGTAGATCGGTTCAATAAGTTCGGTGAGCGCATTTTGACTCTTCGGAAGGAGCAGTTAGGCCTACGGGGACGTAGGGACCCAGTCTCTTTGGCTGAGTTCCAATGTCTAGAAGGAATGCTGACTAATATGGAGGCACAAGAAGATGCTTACTGGAAACAAGAGCCAAGCAACACTGGCTAAAAAATGCCGATGCCAACACGACTTGTTACCACAGGTATGCATCTCACTGTAGGAAGAAAAATACTCTGTCTAGACTTATGAATGATAATGGGAAGTGGGTGGAAGGGAGTGCAATGACAAGCGTTATAATTGATTATTTTGATAAGATTTTTTGCTCTGGAAATCCTGTCCCTGGGGAATCGTTGTTCTAGAAAATAACGCCTAGGGTCACTCAAGCTCGGAATGAGAATTTATTGCGACCTTTTTGTGATTGATGAAGTTAAGAGTGCCCTATTTGCAATGTTTCCTGATAAAGCTCCAGGCCCTGATGGAATGAATCCGGGTTTTTATCAGCACTTCTGGGATGTGGTAGGGGGATGTTTCGGATTTTATACTAAATTGCTTAAATTCATACTCTTTTCCCCCTGGTTTAAATGATACGGATGTTGTGTTAATCCCAAAGAAGAATATGCCCGAATTGGTTACGGATTTAAGGCCTATAGCTTTGAGTAATGTGGTATACAGGATTATGGCTAAAATGATCACTAACAGAATGAAGCCTATGATGGGGAATATTATATCGGACTCGCAGAGTGCTTTCATGCCTGATAGGCTCATTACTGACAATATTTTAATAGCTGCAGAGGTGGGGCATTATTTGAATAGGAAGCAATGTGGAGTTGTTGGCTGGGGAGCTCTTAAGTTAGATATGGCCAAAGCTTATGACTGTATGGAGTGGCCTTTCCTACAAGGAATGCTTGTAGCTCTGGGGTTTGATGAAACATGGATTAAACTCATTATGTTGTGTGTTTCTTCTGTATCCTATAGTTTTTTGATTAATGGATCACGCACTGGCTCCCTCACACCCACACGTGTGCTACGGCAGGGAAATCCCCTATCTCCCTATCTATTTATTATCTGTGCGGAAGGACTATCTTTGTATTGCAACAGGCGCAGAATGATGGTTTGATTCATGGGTGCAGAGTTGCTAGAGGTGATCCCCCAATCTCTCATTTATTTTTTGCAGATGATAGTCTTCTATTTTTTTAAGGCTAATAGGCACGAGGCCACTGAGATAAAAAATGCATGTCAACATATGAGGCTTTCTCTGGGCAGGTGGTCAACTATCATAAGTCTAGTATATGTTATAACAGGATTACGAGTACAGAGGACAGGGATGAGGTGGCACAAATATTACAGGTCACTCAGGCTCCTAATTTTGGGAAATATATGGGCCTACCCTCATTCGTGGGAAGGAATAAGAGAGCAGCATTTGCATATATTGAGGATAAAATAAAGCAGAGGATTGGTTCCTGGAGTAAAAAGTTGCTATCGCAAAGAGGTAAGGAAATCCTATTAAAAAGTGTGGCTCAAGCAATGCCTACCTTTTCAATGGGAGTTTTTTTGCTACCTATATCTGTCTGAACGGCTATTGAACGAACAATGAATAGATATTGGTGGGGGGACAGGAACTGACCGTGGTATTCATTGGAAGGCATGGGACAAGTTGTGTATCCCAAAGAAGACTGGGGGATAGGGCTGTTAACGAACCGAACATAAACAAACGAAGGTTGTTCGTGTTCGTTTATTAAGAATTTTGAAGTGTTCGTGTTCGTGTTCGTTTGTTAAGGTTTTTGAAAATTCTGTTCGTGTTCGTTTGTTAAGCATTCATTAGTGTTTGTTAACGTTCACGAACACGTTCACGAACGTGTTCGTTTACGTTAACGAACATGTTCGAACACGTTCACGAACGTGTTCGTTAACGTTAACAAACACGTTCACAAACATGTTTGTTAACAAGCATGTTCACGAACATGTTGGTTTACGTTCATTAACATGTTCGTGAACCTTTAATAACCAAACACCTCACATATTCATGACCACAATTCGATCATGAACAACAAATAATCTATGTTCAAGAAATAATCAACGTTCATGATCACAATATAATCTATGTATATATATGTTTGTGAACATGTTCGTGAACATTATTAAACCAACACAAAACGAGCTTGTTCACGAACATTATTAAACGAACACAAACGAGTTTGTTCACGAACATTATTAAACGAACACAAACGAGCTTGTTCACAATCTCTTAGGAAACGAGCATACAACTATTCAAGCTCTGTTCGTTTATCAACCGAGCTCTAAATTTTGTTTGTTAATGGTTTGTTTACCTTAACAAACGAACATAAACGAACGCTCACTGAACACGAACACGAGTAGTTTGCCGAAAGCTCTGTTCGCTAACACCCATACTGGGGGACTGGTATTTAAGGATCTAAGAGCTTTTAATCTGGCAATGTTAGGTAAGCAGGCATGGCGGATGCTAACTAATGCTGACTCATTGGTATCTTGTGTTTATCGGGCCAGATATTATCCCAAACATACCTTTTATGAGGCAGGGCTGGGGAATAATCTCAATTTTTGTTGGCGCAGTATTATGGCAGCTAAGGAACTGGTCTATGGGGGAGTAAGGCGGGAACTGGTCTGTGGGGGAGTAAGGCGGCGTATTGGGACTGGAAATTCAACGCTAATCTGGGAGCACCCGTGGCTCCAGGATGAATTGGATCCTATGATCCATAATGAGATGTCACCCCAATTATCAGGAGCTAAAGTAAGTGGATTGATTGATCCGGATACTGGAACCTGGGACCACCATATTCTCTCAGATATTTTCCAACCAAGTGACATACCCCGTATTCTAAAAATACCAGTATCTCTGGAATATGATGATGATTGGTATTAGCATGGCGATCTTAAGGGTACCTACTCAGTTAAGGATGGCTACAAGCGTATTGTAGGAAATTATACGAGTAGTAATGATGGGCCATTTAATAAATGGCTCGCTTTATGGAGATTAAAAATTCCCCCAAAATGGAAGACATTTTTATGGATGTCAGACTCTACACTGCTATCTATCCTCAATAAGACCCCACCTCAGATCATACATCGGCTATGCCGTTGATGCTTGCAAGACTTGCATATCTACTTTTGATTTTTGCTCAGTTAATTTTATTCCTAGATCTCAGAATTTATTAGCTCATACCTTAGCCTCTACAGTTTCAGAACAGTTTACAGCTTTGTATTGGGACTCAGTCCCCCCTGACTCTATTCTGGTTTATCTATAAAATAACCGCGTATGGTTGCCTTCAAAAAAAAATTCCTAAGTGTATGTGAGAAATTGGTATCTAATGTAAATGTCGCTCTTGTGTGCAAGCATGTAATTAAACTGTACAGATTCTACTATTGTAGCAAACCAAATTCGACCAATTAAGGACAAATTAAACAATATAAAGTCCCCTCCTTTCAAAAAAATATAAAGTTCCCTAGAAAATCAACAACTCTCGTGTGATGCCTAAGTTAACACTACTCTCGAGTGCAATTAACAAACAAGAATCAAATACAACTTGATCACCATTCTATGCAATTAATAATTAAACCACACAAACACAACACTTAAAGATTATTCTAATCCGGCCCATTGCAAATAACAACAACAACAACAACATCAACAACAACAACAACAACAACAATAATAATAATAATAATAATAATAATAATAATAATAATAATAATTTACATCTACATCTACAAACCTAATAAGAGCCAATAACGGAAACTAAAAAATATTGGTGTAATTGTTTGATGAAATGAATGGTTCATATTATTTTGATTTTAAACCAGTTTGGCTGGCGTGAGTGGTCGTGCATTCTCGTCCTTAAGAGATGTCGGGAGTTCGAAACCCTCTTGTATGGAAAAATCAATATGGTAAATACTTTGCCCCTTAATTATTGGGTCGGCTTGGTGCGAACGGAGATTAGTCGGTGCCTCCTACAATTAGGACTGTTCAGGACTCCTACAATTAGGACTGTTCAGGACACCTCATGGTCTGACAAAAAAATATATTATTTTGATTTTAGTATCTTTTATTATTTTTCCTACTTTATCCTCTATTATATCATTTACTTTTCTTAAATACCCATGTATTCTGTCAGTATAAACTTTAGTAACGGAATATTCCATTAACTATTTATTATTCTTAACATACTCATTGATTTTCATAAGGTCTTAGGTTTGAACCACATCCCAATCAAAATTGACATAATTGTTAAACATATACTATGAATAGGTTATATTATATTAAAAAACATACAATATAAAATTTAACTTTGGTCAATTAATTAGAATCGCACATTAGGCATTGATGAAACAGTACACATAATTTACAATATATATGGTGTATGGGAAAGAGATGGTGAGTAACGGGTGTAAATTTGTCGTTCCGCAAGGGATTGGGACTATGGCACGTACTTGAGTGACAACTAAAATTCTAGGCACCAAAGTATTGGAACCCACAAGAATCCAAGCAAATTCAAATTCATGGTTGGGTAATGTCAACAATTAAAGGCTAAAAATCTAGTTGAGACAAAGTAATTTAAACACAAGTAAACACAATGATTAAAGATGGGCTCAAATTAGGGGATGTTGCCTTCTAGATGCTTTAACAACTTAGGGATTAGGGGAGAACATCAACCAAGGGAACATAAGGGCAAAGCACATAAAAATCCTAGCTTAAAGCCATTTTCATAAGCTAATAAACAAGGATTAGAGCAAGGATTGCCCCACTTTCATGGTGTATCAAATCCTAGCTCTCAAAGCACATAAGCATTTAGGCCCCCAATTCTTCCCTATTTTCATAGAAAGAAAATGGGTTTAGAGAAAGGAGAGGCTTAAATTCTTCCCCCAACTTTCATTGTAGAGAAAAACTATCCAAAAGCAAGTTAATAAGAGTTACGTACCAAATATTAACAAGATTCAACATAAATCCTTCACAAACAAATGAACCCTAGGTTAGATATCTTCCCCCTTATGCAATAATCACCTATTTAGCATCTAGGTTGGCAACATCACCCTAATCCAAGCCCAAAAACGAACTACTCACACTTCATAAACATAAATAAAAACAAAGCACAAGAAAGTATCATAAACATTGCACAAAAGCTTAAAAAGAAGAGTAAGAAACTTCTCTATTGAAGATGAAGATTTTGTGGTTGAATCCTACTCCAATCCGTGATTACAAGCTTGGAAGATGAGTTTGAGATGTAATACTAGACTAATCTAAGCTAAGGAAATGAAAGGAAGTGAAATGGAATGAGTTTTTGCTCTCTAGGGTTCTAACTTCTCTAAAAAAAAAAACAGAACAAAAGGTATTAAAAAGCTGTCAAATTTCCGCGCAACGACATGGCCAGGCACACGGCCGTGTCCCCGGCCGTGTCCAATTTTCAGCCAAAATCTGAGGCATTCTGCCTCAGATTGGCACGGCCGTGCCAAATTTCTTCAGACATGGCCATGTGCTGACACGGCCATGTACACGGCCATGTCAGTGGCCATGTCAGTTGTCCTGAATCCATTTTTTAAATGTTGCTCCAATTCTCCATTCTTTCTTGCACTGCTTCCTTGACTCCAAAATAGACTTGAAATGCTCCAAAGTGCTCCATTCTTTACTCATTGTGAATAATTGTACCTAAGAAAATAAATCACACAAATGAGTCTCAATTAACACTTAGTTAATGGCACTTTATGTACAAAATGGACTTAAAACATGGGGTTAAAAGAAGTCAAGAATAAGTGTTATCAATATACTCAACACAGATGAAAAACTATGTCTATTATCACTATCTTTTTGAGTAATGAGGATTTGGTTATATTTTTGAAGGTGCACTGTGCCAAGAAACTAAAATTGCAATGAAGCACACCATAGGACTAGATTAAATCAAGAATGCATTTCTAGCGGAAGTGGCAACAAGAGGAAGCATAGATCATGCCAATTAATAGGATTGTTTGTTGCAACAATTATAAAATGGTACTATCTAGTGAGAGTGTTTCCCTCTAAAACTGTTATTGCATCAATTAATTTTATAAAAAAATTATGCCACACGTCATAGTGGTGTTGGAAAAGAAAATAATATTTCTAACTTGAATCTTGTGGTACAAAGAGAGACGTGAAGGAGGTTTATTGGTGGGAGGCATTCGGAGGAGGAGGTGACTGCTGTCTGATTATGCATTCTTGAAATATTTACTTTTATGAAAAATTTAATAATTTTGCATTAATATACACTAGTATTTTCGCCTATGCGATGCACGGAATGGATTTGTTGTAATATATTATGAATATTTGGATCAATATAAGATTATTTAAATTAGAACATCAAATATTATATAGTGCTATTAAATATGTGGTTTGGATCATTTATGTGTTTTGATGTTTCATTGCTTGAATTTGAGCATATAATTGCACAAATTATAGATAATGTGTAAATGTACGCATGCGGTGCTATAACTTTGGAGATTTTATTTATCATTGTTTAATATTTTTTTTTATAAATTAGGCAAATGTGCTCGTTCTCTAGCAACACAGCTATCTTAATTCATTTGTATGGAAGATATATTTTTTTGTCTAGATACATAGCAATTTTGTCATTTAAAAAGACATAATATCAACGATTATATTTACACATTATTGAAACTTTTTTGTAGACGACATTGGTAGTAGCAACACAATCTTGTCCATCATCGTCTAGAGCTAACACCTTCAGTCCATCAGGATTGGTGACTCGGGTGAAAATATATAATGATAGAATATTAGTGAATTAGCGATCCTTTTATATTTTAAGTCAAGAGTAAATACTCAAAAGAGTAAATACCCAAAATGGTCCATCGACTATAGCTAAATTCACAAATTGGTCCTCGACTTTCAATTTCAATCAATTAAGTCCTTAACTTTGTAATTTTAACACAATTTGGTCCTCTGTCTATTTGACCGTTTGTTGACTGTGATTTTTGAGGATATATATGTACTTTCATGATCCATAGTCGGTTTTTTAAGGTTCCGGTTACATTTCCAGACCGCACTGTTACATTCGAATCCACTGCCGAAAGCAATCTACCAAATTCGGTCGCCTTTCTTCATCCTCCCTTTGGATTCAATGTAGTTGAGTTCGTACCAGAGCGAAGAAGACGATGTGTTTCTGAACCGGTGCAACGTCATCCTGGAGGCCTCCACATGCTCTGACGAGAGCTAAAGGTTCTTCTGGAGATCGTCGATCATGGTCAAATAGATGGAGGACCAAATAGTGTCAAAATTGCGAAGTTAAGGACTTAATTGGTTGAAATTAAAGTCAAGGACCAATTTGTGAATTTAGCTATAGTCGAGGGACCATTTTGGGTATTTACTCTACTCAAAATGGTCCATCAACTATAGCTAAATTCACAAATTAGTCCTTGACTATTGATTTTAACCAATTAAGTCCTTAACTTTCCAATTTTGACCCAATTAAGTCCTCCGTCTATTTGACTATTTGTTGACTGTGATATCTAAGGATATATATGTAATTTTATGTGATGGTCCTATGCTTTTCTGGCCTAAAGCTCTCCATTGTTTTTGTTTTTTAATTGGGGTTGTCTGTTGAGAGAGAGACCCGAGGTTGTCTTTTTTATTCTTTCTTTGGCTTTTAAGTTAAACACACAAAGATAAATAAGAAACCGTCAAATTTTGATTTGAAGGATCCGAGTCGACGATATCCGCCTTGGAGTGGGAGCTCAAGAACACAGTGTAACAAACCAAAATTTTATTTTATAAATCTAATTTTAAGAAATTTCAAAATAGCCATTTTCATTCTATTAAAAATTTTTGCGATCAATTAGTGTTTGAATAAATTATTTTTATCACATTTTAAATTAATTCGA